CCTCGTGGGCTGCCGCGGCCGCGCTTGGGGCCCCTTAACCCTTCAGTCCCCTGGGCCACCCTCTGTGCGGTGGGGAGGAGCTGGCCCTGGGGGGCACCCCTGCGCTCCACCACAGGGCGCCCGCGCCCAGAGACCTTCCTCCCTTCTCCCCAGGCATGGCCTTTGCCCTCCTGACCTCCGTGCCTCCCGTCTTCGGCCTCTACACGTCTTTCTTTCCGGTCCTCATATACTCCTTGTTGGGCACTGGGAGACACCTGTCCACTGGTGAGGGGCCCAGCGCCTGGGGTCCTCCCAGATGAAGGGCTTCAAGCTCTCAGCTCCTCCTCCTCCCTCTGAAGGGCCGCCTAGGGGGTGGGGGGCTGGGGTGCTGCTGGCTGAGGGCAGGGGGCCTGGGGCTTACCCGGACTTGCCTCTCCCAGAAATCTGGAACAACTTGGAAGGGGACAGAAAAGCTGCCGGTCACCCACAGGGGCCTCAGTGTGGGGCCTGTGCAGGGGGCAAATTTTGCAGGCTGCGCCCTCCTTTCCTCCCTCCCACCCGTCCCTGGGCGCCCCAGCTCCGGTCCCCGAGGTCTTTGGGAAGCTGCAGCCGGCAGCCAGCCGTGGGTCTGGGCGCGGGAGAGCTGTGTGACCCCCGCGGCTGCAGGCTCACCCCCGCTCCCCCTTTGCTGGGGCCCTAGGAACGTTCGCTGTGCTCAGCCTCATGACCGGCTCCACGGTGGAGCGGCTGGTGCCCGAACCCCTGGGGGGCAATCTGAGCCGAATCGAGAGGGAACAGTTAGATGCTCAACGGGTTGGGGTTGCTGCAGCCATGGCCTTCGGGAGCGGGGCGCTGATGGTGAGGGACGGGGTGGCGGGGACCCCGGGATCTGGGCGGGCTCTGATGGCAGGGACGCTGGGGGATCCCGGGTCACTGGGCCAGAGGAGAGGGAGAGACAAGGGTCCCCCTACTCTGGCAGCTCAGCGCCCCTCCGCCACGCGCCCCCTCTCCCTGCAGCTGGGGATGTTCGCGCTGCGGCTCGGCGTCCTGTCCACCTTTTTGTCTGAGCCTGTGGTCAAAGCGCTGACCAGCGGGGCCGCGCTGCACGTGCTGGTGTCCCAGCTGCCCAGCCTTTTGGGGCTGCCACTGCCGCGGCAGATCGGCTGCTTCGCTCTCTTCAAGGTGGGGTGAGAACAGGAGGGGGAAAGCCCTGCGGAGAGGAGAAAGGGGCAGGAGCGCGCGTGGGGGCGGAGAGCTGAACCGCGGGTCTGAGCGGGCTCGGCTCTGGGAAGGGCAGGGCCAGGGCTGCCTGGGGGCAGTGGCGGGCATTCTCGGGGCGCGGGGCGCCGATCCTGGCCCACCAGGCCCTCTGCGCCCCGCCCGCAGACGCTGGCCGCCTTGCTGACCGCGCTGCCCCAGAGCAGCCCCGCGGAACTGACCATCTCCGCGCTCAGCCTGGCGCTGCTGGTGCCGGTCAAGGAGCTGAACGTGAGGTTTCGTGACCGACTGCCCACCCCCATCCCGGGGGAGATCG